ACAGTCACTGTCTGGTACTGGACGGAGGGCACCACCTGGGTGCGGACCACCTCAGAGTACACAGTGGTGTATACCTGCTGTGTGCGGACGGACGTCTGGGTGACGTATTGTACGTCGTTGTTGTAGACGGTGGAGGTGATAAACTGGGTGGAGTACTTGACCTGCGTTGTGTAGGTGACTGTTGGCTGGCAGTTTGGCTGTTCATCTGGCGGCAGGTACGTCAAGGACGACTGGAGGTCGATGTTGTTGTCGAAGAGCTGGCGGCGAGGCCTGTCAACAGAAGCCCCGAGAGCACAGCCCAGCAGCAGCGATAATAGCACGGCCCGCATCCTGTGGGAGAGAACCTCTCATGAGAACAATACAACTTTACAGTACAGTAATGTGTATTTTATCATCAAACAGGGAAGTATACTTACTTGTGTGAAGATAACAGTGAAACACTTGTTTAAGAATGTTACATCAAAACATTGTCTAAGAATTGTTAAAGTGTATTTTTACATTTACATAAATACAAAAATCAAATGTAAATAGTAAGAAGTAAACATTGCGCCAGTTTATAAACAAGTTGATCTCTTGGGAGGCAAACGCGTCTCATCTTGTGCCCTCTTGTATGTGTTGCCACACCTTATGCCGCGGTCCTCATACAAGCTTTAGTCATTGTCTGCTTAGAAGTTGAAAGGAGTTCCTGGATCATCATAGTTGTATCCGGTCTGGCCACAGGTGGCGGTGATGGTCTGTGTGACGGTCACCTGTCGTGGTTGGTTGACGGTCTGGTAGACCACTTCCTGTCGAGGTTGAGTCTGAACCACCTGTTGGGTGATGACTCGGTTCTGACCGGGCACTTGGACCACTGAGGTCTGCACTTGTTGCTGGGTTTGGACTACAGGGGCGGGGGTGACATACCGGGTCTGGACCACCGTCTGTACCTGAGTGAAGGGCTGAACCCTGGTCTCGTAACGGGTGGTGTAGATGGTGGTGGGCACCACCTGTGTTCGCACCACCTCCTGAGGGACCACCTGGGTCTGGACCTGTGTCTGGGTGACGACGTTGGTCCTGGTCACCACCTGTTCGCGAGTAACGTAAGTAGTTTGGTAACGCGTGTTGACGGAAGTGTAGGGAATGACCTGCTGGCGCTGTACGTAGGAGGTACTGTAAACATTTTGGCCTCGGACATAGCTGGTCTGGGCCTGCTGCCGGTACTGCGTCGAGGTAACGTAGCGAGTGTTACCTGGTCCCTGACGGCTGACGACGGAGGTCTGAACGACGGTCTGGACGCGGGTCTGTACTACGTCACGGCCTGGGACGGACACGACGCGGGTCTGTTGCTGCACCTGGGTCTGGTAGTTAGTGACGGGCTGCCTGACCGTCTGCACCTGTGTGCGAGTCACCTCCACAGGTACTACCTGTGTTTGTACCTGTGTGCGGGTGACGTAGCTGACCTGTGGCACGACGCGAGTTGAGGTAACATAACGAGTCTCCTCACGAGGTGGACTTGGCACAGTGTTTGTCACGACTCTGTCATTGACCACGTTGGTTGTACGCTGGACCACTCTGGTCTGGTACTGGACCTGTGTTTGGACACGAGTCTGGTAGAGTGTAGTTGGCACCACCTGTTGTCTGACTTGTGTTGTGGTGATGTACTGTGTGTTGACCTGGTTGACGGTCTGGACGTTGACGGAGGTCTGGACGCGGGTTGTGAATTCCACCGAGATGATGGGCGCAGCCTGGCAGTCCGGTGTGCTCCCAGAGGGTGGTAGGTAAATGTCTGGCACAGGGTAGCTGTACCCCTGAGGAGAGGCTGAGGCCAGGGCAGCCACCAGCAGCGTCGCCGTCAAACGCCACATCCTGCAAAGAGAAATTCCACAGGTTAGAACAGCGGTGATTGGAACCCCCGCGTCTCGGCAACTCATTTGGGAATAAAGTCCAATCACGCGCCGCTCCCTCTGTGCAATTTCTCTATGCTTTGTGGGCTGACCCGAGAGGACTTTATCGCCCAGATGAGCCGCGAGGCGCTGACCTGGTCACCGAATTATTGAACACAACTCAATGGGGATGTGAAATTTGGTGGAAGAAAGTTGCAGAAGGATGACAAAAGTTAGCACACACACACACACACACACACACACACACACACACACACTAGAGCATCACGAGCAAGTCTTCCAAACTTTTTTGTATTTGTGAGTAGAGTGAAGCGAGGAAATGAGACGGTTAGATAACAGAGAACCAGGTCGTTGGTCATCACCTGTGGAAGATCAGCGCCTCCACCCGCTTCCATTCCTCTACTCCAGTCCTCCTACCACTCATCCCCTCCCCCTCTCCTCCCTCCTTTACCTCCCCTGCTCTCTCTAATCATCCACCGCGGTAGAGCTGAGGTCGTCTGCGCTGTAACAACCAGTATTGTGTAAGGTTTGTCATGAGGTGGAGGAGGGTGGAAGAAGGGGGGGGGGTCGGGCCTGTGCATTGACCTGCCTGTGATTTGCTGAGGCGCCCTCCACACTACTAAACCACACTACTGCTGACGTTAAGGTGAATGCATTAGTTAACTGACGGTGTGTAGGTCGGGGAAAAGGGTGACCATACCAACTAGCGGGGTAAGGTGGGTGGGGGGAGGGAAGGGGGAGGCAGATGGGTTACTGGTGAGGGAGAAGGAGAAGGTAGGTGGGGGGTATGGGGAGGGTATGGATATGGTCGATGGTAGAGATAGATGGAGGGGTGGATTTATGAGTGAGGTAGGTTGAGGGTTGGAGGGGAATAGCAAGCATTAGAAGGGCTGATCTGGCTTTGTTCCAGGATCACCCCACCCTCGGTCTCCTCTTCTACACTCTCTATGTATATCATCCACTCTCGTTCTCTATGTATCAACAAGCCGTGTCTTTGTAAGTGAATAAGCTTTACAATTGTCTACTTTCTTTCAAACTAACAGAAATATAACCAACTATTAAAGAGAATTAAAGAGATTCCCATTTACTTGTGTTTTTATAAGTTTGTGAGTTTTCAAGAACATTATCAACATCACCTTCGTCTTACAAGAGCTAGTTATAGTCTTGATGTGAACTAGTGGTCATTTGTCTATTTTTTTTTACTAGCAATATCACTCGTTCGCTTAAAAGTGAACTTACTGCACAGCAATTTCATCCGCCTCTTAAGATCGTTCCATAAATAACACCAACCTCGTCTGAAATTAAACTTAAAAATCTTTCAAGTCTTTGGGGGGTTTTGACTTAACCCCTTGAGTACGATGATCCTATCCCCTTGAGTACGATGATCCTATCCCCTTGAGGACGATAACTTTATACCCCTTGAGTACGATGATCTTAACCCCTTGAGGACGATAACTTTATACCCCTTGAGTACGATGATCTTAACCCCTTGAGTACGATGATCTTAACCCCTTGAGTACGATGATCTTAACCCCTTGAGTACGATGACTAAGGTCCTCGTACTCAAGGGGCTAATACCATCGTACTCAAGGTTTTTAAGATTCTGAGGACTCTTGGGTTCATTGAGAGCGAGAGTGGCTGAGGGCGCCTCCAGCACAAAGAGTGAGAGTGACCAGACGAGAGACGTGTTAAGCCTTGTATGAGTGACCGAAGGTGATGGGGAAGGGAGAGGAAGTTAAGGGTGTAACGAATGAGTTACCAGAGGATAGAATGAGTTACTGTAAGATAGAATGAGTTGCCAGAAGATAGAAATGAGTTACCAGAGGATAGAATGAGTTACTGTACGATAGAATGAGTTACTGTACGATAGAATGAGTTACTGTACGATAGAATGAGTTACCAGAGATAGAATGAGTTACCAAAAGATAGAATGAGTTACCCGATGATAGAATGAGTTACCCGATGATAGAATGAGTTACCCGATGATAGAATGAGTTGCCAGAAGATAGAATGAGTTACCAGAGATAGAAATGAGTTACTAGAGGATAGAAATGAGTCATCAGAAGATAGAATGAGTTACCAGAAGTTAGAATGAGTTACCAAACGCTAGAATGAGTTACCAGAAGATAGATAGAGCTAATAAGAGAGGAGTGAGAACGAATACGAGAAGAAGCTACAAATGATAACAGGGAAGAAGAAGAAGAAGTCACTAACAGCTTTACCCCTCAATTACAGGAGAACGGCCATTAGAGGTGGTTCACGGTGATTGGGTCATTAACAGTGGCAAGGCTATTAGTGTGGACTGTTTCAAGGTCCTCCTGATGGTAAGTCGTTCTGCTAGTGTGTGTGTGTGTGTGTGTGTGTGCGTAGGTGTGCGTATGTATGTATGTATGTATGTGTGTATGACCCAGCTGGCGCTCATGTCTAAACACACACACACACACACACACACACACGCGCGCGCGCGCAAACAAACATCAAGGGACTTTACAACCCGTAATTACGTATGTATCGACGAATATCAATTTATCGGAGATCAGGTCAGCGTGGGGCACCGAGAGGTCACGAGGTCACTGGGCAAGAAAGATCATGACTTGTAGGGTGTTGAAATCTTCCCCACGAGAGTCTGCTGTTCCTGATTCTCTACTGAAGGATCTTTGTCAGCAACTTGTTCCTCGTTAATTTTATTATGTAGAAACTATTAAGGTATCAATGTTAATCCCCAATATGGTGTTAAGATTACACTGAGACTTTAATTATTTACGTTCACTTGACATGAGTTAAGAAACAACATTAACGCCGAATGTCTGTGTGACTCGTTTGGCTCACGTTGTTCACTTAATTTATTAATATTAAAATACGTTCTTGTACAAATATCATCATTCAATATATTTTAATCTCGTTCAAGTTAACTTAAATAATGTTTAGAGATGAACGCACTGATGGGTCGTCTTGCCACAGATAACAAAACACTCGTTCTTCACTTTCCATAATTACGTTTGTTTTCAGCAGACATATTACACATACCTTGGTCAGTGTGAGGGGGGAGTCCACGGATCTGAGAACTGAACACTAGACTGAGTTCAGCGACTGTGTCTTAACGCCGGACATCTTCCTCCTATTTATACTGGAGGATGGGGAAGGGTTGGTCTTAATTCGTTCCCTTTTTTTGTCTTCAACATATTCTAGTCCTGATCAAGTTCCTGCTGGTAGGAGGCGCTAAAAGGATGGGAGGGGCTGAAGGATATTTCGGGGGAAACAGGTGCCGCGTGTTGATATCTTGAACATCCCGTACCTCGCCCCTCAATACTCTGAGACCTGAAGGTGCATCAGTAGAGAAGTGTACATAGCGGATATAGTAAACGAACTAATAAATATATACCAGAATTTAATTATAATACGAGAATATCACAATGAGGACGATGGTTGATGGTCTCGGTAACTGCAGGTCGAACACAGGACGAGAACGATGCTCCGACCAATCAGACGCCACTTTCGTCCTGGACAAGCCCCGCCCGCCAGTGTACGGTGGACTACACTTAGGCTCTTCCCCATAGCCAAGTCAAGGGTCATTTTATACATAGACGCTGAAGAGATGTTCTTTGACCACCAGAAGTAGCCAGGACAAGGTGTAGAGAGAGTAAGTGTTGTCACCAAGGGCGGCGGATAGTGTTGAGTCTTTCCCTTGTCGGCCTCCACCCTCACGCCCGTATAGTACTCCCACGCCCGTACAGTACTCTCACGCCCGTACAGTACTCTCACGCCCGTACAGTACTCTCACGCCCGTACAGTACTCTCACGCCCATACAGTACTCTCACGCCCGTACAGTACTCCCACGCCCGTACAGTACTCCCACGTCCGTACAGTACTCCCACGCCCGTACAGTACTCCCACGCCCGTACAGTACTCTCACGCCCGTACAGTACTCCCGCCCGTACCCGCCGTACAGTACTCACGCCCGTACAGTACTCCCACGCCCGTACAGTACTCCCCACGCCCGTACAGTACTCTCACGCCCGTACTACTCCCACGCCCGTACAGTACTCTCACGCCCGTACAGTACTCTCACGCCCGTACAGTACTCTCACGCCCGTACAGTACTCCCACGCCCGTACAGTACTCCCACGTCCGTACAGTACTCCCACGCCCGTACAGTACTCCCACGCCCGTACAGTACTCTCACGCCCGTACAGTACTCCCACGCCCATACAGTACTCTCACGCCCACACAGCACCATCACACACACACACAGAGGCATTAAGTGTAAGAGATCCAACTACTGTACTTATTAATACTAACCATAAGTCTCACAGTTGGCTATAAAGAGTTGTTTACTTGTAGAGTTCTATTAAGTGCCACCACGTACTACTGTCCTACGTCATTGAGTATAATAATCGTAGTTGATAATATTTCTATACTAATCCGGGTCTGCGTCAATGGATTTAGACAGTTAAAAGAGTATCTGTCCATCCTTTCCCTCTCTGTCTATGTTATAAGAAAGCGACGGTCAACACCATCACCAAGTCGACCACCCATCACAATTTCCTCCTCCCTTTGTTAATGGTCTGGCCTACCTGATGTCTGAGTGTGGCTTACAATGGTGGTTCTCAGTCGGTTGGTGTTATTCTTGGTATTATCACCTTTATGGTTATTTTATCATTATTTATTTAATTTTAAGTTATATCATCCGTCCCACTCTTGTCCAGCCTAGAACAACTTCATCGTCATCTGCCGTCGCTCTCATAATATACCCTCGTCATCGTCATCTACCGTCGCTTTCATATACTCTCGTCATCGTCATTACCGTCGCTTTCATATACTATCGCTATACCCTCGTCATCGTCATTACCGTCGCTATACCCTCGTCATCGTCATTACCGTCTCTATACCCTAGTCATCGTCATCTGCCGTTCTTTACTCCTTCACATTTCTCCTCGTGACTCAGAGACTAAGGCAAAACTCCCTTACTATGGCCAGGAGGAAAGTAACGACGAATAGAAGGCTCCCCCATAACACCTCACACTGCTCTTGCTGTCCTTACTCAGGTGATCAATATAACCAAAACTACCCAACACGCCCTTCATCGTCAGGAGACAACACCGCTGACGGGGACAGAAGGTGAAAAGACATATGAACGGAAATACCTCTGCAGAGCTCTAATTAACAGTGTCAAGCCTGTTCCTACCTCACCGTTATGGACCGAATGTCAGAATGTTTTAAGATTCCTCCTGTAGATCATGGTAACTGTATATCAATAATTAATAACAACACAACAATACTCAGGCATTCACTGAGGTAGGCAGAGGAATGTGTGTGTTGGTGTGTGAGGAGGACCATGGCTCTAACTCGTCCAGAACTGTTCAAAGGTTCGAATCCCTAAACTAACATTCACATCATGGGTAATTATTCCTACCTTGTGTTTCAGAGGTTCACTGTTCGTCTTGAGTCATCAGTTACGAATCACTAACTCAGTACTTTCAACTTACGAACTTAAAATCTACTTCATTGAGGAAATTTCAAGATCAAAAGAGGTTAATAAGTCAAAACTTAATATATTACCCTCGTGAAGCAATGACTTGGGCTGATGATAAGGGAGTTAATTGCCGTGTCTTGGGGTTATCTTATCATCTGTAAATTACAGTGTTGTCGGCTGGTTGACTTAGCGCTACAGCAACACGGCGATAACTTAACAAGAAACATGTCTGAAACCTTGACGAATTTCAGGTTACAGCAAAACAGTCGATGGAAGGTTAAAAACAAAACTTGATCTCTGAAAAACTTTTGCCAAAATTGAGGTTTCTAAATCGATACCAGAATGGATTTAAATAAGAAGTAAGTTGTTTTCCGAAGTATGGAAAGAAACCCAAGGAAAAGGAAAATGATTTATGAATCGTGTGTAAATAAATGGTTTCTTGTTTTTAAAATGTTTGAAAAAGAATATAAGTAAAGATGGTTTCTAAAATATGTATCTAAGCAAAGGGATTTCAGAAGTATGAGTATATATATATATATATATATATATATATATATATATATATATATATATATATATATATATATATATATATATATATATATATATATATATATATATATATATATATATATATATATATATCTGTTAGAGTTTAGATAGAAAGCAATAGTTTCTGACACGTGAATGCAGGTTTCAGTCATTTCAGTAAGAGTCGATCTGAGGTTTCACTCTGTTTCTCTTGTCTGATGAGTCGGAAGAGATAATAAAGACGTGTGTGTGTGTGTGTGTGTGTGTGTGATATGCTTGTTTATATCTAAAAAAAATCCTGTAAAATTGACGAATAGCCAGATCTTCCTTAAATCCTCCTACAAATAGCCAGATCTTCCTTAAATCCTCCTACAAAGGCTGATGCTCCCTCACTAGCCTTCACAGTAGTGTAAAGATGTTGTCCTGTCTCACCAGGCTGATAATGTTCACACCTTGAGTTCAACAAATATTAGTAACTTTTTGTGGTTGTTGTTGTTTTGATCAGTGGCGTCGTGGTGTCCTTGAACTTCTGCCTCCTCCTCCTTCTTTGTACCTCCTGTTTCTTCCTTCTTCCTTCCTTGTGCCTCTTGCTTCCTCCTACTTACTCCTTTCTTCTCCCTACTAATTCCTTTCCTGCTTTTTACTCCCCCCACCACCTTTCCCTCCCTCATTTCCCCTCCCTCTATTCCCTCTCCCCCTTCTCTCTCCCCTTTCTCCTCCTCATTAATTCCTTTCTACCCCTATCCTATCCCTCTCTCTCTCTCCCCTCTCTAATCCCTCTCCTCCTCTCTAATCTCTCTCCCTCCTCTCTATCACTCTCCCCTCTCCCTCTCCCCTTCTCTCCCCTTCTCTCTCCCCCTTCTCTCTCTCCCCCTTCTCTCTCTACCTCTTCTCCTCCTACTCTCTCCTTCATCTCAGGACCCTGGTCTCTCCTCCCCACAAGGGCTCAGCAGCCAAACCTCCTTAATTATCAAGCAGGTGACAGGTGAAGAGGCCTGGCCGAGAGACTTATCACCTGTTCGCGTTGTCAAGGTGTTCTCGGTATCAGGTGTTCTCGTTGCCAACGTGTTCTCGTTGTCAAGGTGTTCTCGTTATCCAAAGTGTTCTCGTTGTCAAAGATGTTCTCGTTGCCAACGTGTTCTCGTTCCCCAACGTGTTCTCGTTGTCAAAGATGTTCTCGTTGTCAAGGTGTTCAACATCAAGATGTTGTCGTTGCCAACGTGTTCTCGTTGCCAAGATGTTCTCGTTGTCAAGGTGTTCTCGTTGCTTAGGTGTTCTCGTTGTCAACGTGTTCTCGTTGTCAAGGTGTTCTCGTTGTCAACGTGTTCTCGTTGCCAAGGTGTTCTCGTTGTCAAGGTGTTCTCTCGTTGCCAAAGGTGTTCTCCGTTGTCAACGTGTTCTCGTTGTCAGGTGTTCCTCGTTGTCAACGTGTTCTCGTTGCCAAGGTGTTCTCGTTGCTTAGGTGTTCTCGGTGTCAAGGATAACAGGACAACCATGAAGCATCTCAAGGTGTCCGGTTGAGCTACAGTGGTCTGGGTGGAAGCTGTAGCGTGTATCCCAACCTGTGAGTCTGACTCCTGGAGGCTGCCACATGTTAACGTATGAATGACCGTCGTTACTGATTTTTGTGTGATATTTTCTTCTTATTTATATCATGATTTCAGTAGTTTTATGGTATTTGAATTTTGTTTTTGTTTTCTGTAGTGAGAAACCTTATATTCCTTCTCTTGGGCCTGATTCGGTTCTAGACTGAGAATAAGATGAGTTCTTAACGCTAGACAAACGACTGAAAAACAAAGGTGGTTGTTTTAAGAGGATGTTCCAGGGACGATTTATGATCCCAACACTGTGACACACGTCCTGCCTCCTACCTCCACATACCTCTGATTACCTGGATTTTCTACACACATTACAATAGTATCCTTCAGCATCAATTAGAGGTCTCTATTACCCAACGTATTTGTTTATTAACTTTAATAATAATTTCTCTTAAATATGTTTGCTGCTTTGTTTTTTCCAATAACTTATAAATGTATAATGAATATGTGTTATTTATTAAGTCTCATTATAGTATACGCCTCTTACCTGGTGACAATGACAGGTGGGTAACGA